ACTAAAATGTCGGCATGTCAATCCTGGCTATGATCATCTTTAGATTCATTTTAAACTCTTGTCTTGCACTGCTTTGCCCTATTTTGTGGAGGGAATAACCTCTGCAATGCTGGGGTTCCCAGGTTTTCACGGATTCGTGAAAAAGCAGTTGTGGTGGGTGGGAGATGGCAGGTGAGAATGAAGGAGGAATCAGAGGATTTCTTCCCACCCTTTCTGCTATAGACCAAGAATCTGGTAGTGGTTCATCTACCAACTGGCAACAGCATTCCTTCACTTAGTCCCTCCAGCCTTGTATAGTGGTTCTATTACTAATCTCTTGTTTACTTCACAGTCCTCTACTGTCTCCTCTGTAATACCATCATTAGCATAACTAATTCCTTGCATTAAATTGCCATTGTTTCAAATACTCAAAGAGGGTGTATTCTCCTGGCTTGGCTCTGAGTAATGCAGCTAGTTAAAGAGCAATAATTATAAATAAGTAGAAACCTGCAAGGATAAACAGATCGGGGTAGGAAGTATCAGTAGATATGCATTGTCAACACATTTTTGTAAGATGGAAATAGATGCATTCATGGTCACACCTTAGGGCAGAGGGGCATAAGTACCTATGGAGGGAGACAACAGAGAAAACCCTGTGCAGCCTCAGGTCTTAGAGGCACAGATACTTCAGAGGGGAGGAGGACACACTGAAAATAAGACTGTTTGAAAGTCTCCCCGCTAAGAATCAATAGCTTAGTCTGCGGAGTCTGAGTAGCTCCAGACGAAATACAGTAGAAGGCTGGAGAGTAGGCCCCATGCTAGAAAGAGGGAAATAGCATAGTGTTATTCATTTTTACTGGCAGGACTATCCATCTCACATACACAAAGTTGTGTGAAACATTCTTTACTAGAGAAGCAGCATCCCAGGAAAGATCTCACAGTATTGAACCTGGAGTGGGAGACAGGTGTATCTAAAGCAAAGTTCAGGTTATTGCCACAATCCTACCTGTAGGTAACCCCACCACCCCAATTTGTGTGCATCTGACCATGTAGAAAGAAGCAGAAACATCTGGACAGAAGCAACCATTGGCTGTTTTTCCTCTGTGTCTGTCCTTCTGACCTTCTTCTCTTTTTGTTAACAGATACCAGTTACCCTGGATTTAAGCTCCATCCCATTTCCGAATAAGCACACCTTAAATTACATCTACAAAAGTCCTTTTTCTAAATAAGGTTATTTTCTGAGGTTCTGCTTCAAGAATTGGGGCAGGAAGCACTACTTCACTCTTAATTATTATCATATTTAAAGATAAGGAGGTCTAAAAGAAACAGTTGAAAGTCTGGAATGGAAACTGCTAGAAGGACAGAACTGAATTCAGGAATGGTATTTATGTTTCTAAGGCTTGGAATAGATGTGCCAACAACACAATGACACCCAGATTTGCTTCTTCAGGCCAGGGGCTGTCGCACATTTCTTTGCCTTCTGGTTATCCAGCTGTGATTAAATGACTACTTTTGAATAACTGGTTGGGAAAGGAATGACCCTTTTAATGAGCAATATAATTGGATCGACTATTTAGCTCTGTTATTCCTTGCATAGAGATAGTAAAAGCAGGAGTTAAAACAGAACTTTAACCACCTTGAATGAATCTGGTAAGCCCCCATACATCCACATGTTAAAATCGTAACTCCCCAGTGATGGCATTAGTAGGTTGAGCTTTTTGGGAGGTGACTGGGTGATAAGGGAAGAGGCCTTATGGATGAAATTAGTGCTTTCATAAAAGACACTTCTGAGAATGGCTTGATCCTTCTATCATTTTTCTCTTTTTAAAAGATTTATTGGGCTTGGCGCAGTGGCGCAGTGATTAAGGTCCTCGCCTTGCACGCCCGGGATCCCATATGGGCGCCGGTTCTATCCCGGCAGCCCGCTTCCCATCCAGCTACCTGCCTGTGGCCTGGGAAAGCAGTCGAGGACGGCCCAAGGCTTTGGGACCCTGCACCGCGCGGGAGACCCGGAAGAGGCTCCTGGCTTTGGATTGGCATAGCATCGGCCATTGTGCTCACTTGGGAAGTGAATCATCGGATGGAACATCTTCCTCTCTGTCTCTCCTCTCTGTATATCTGCCTTTCCAATAAAAAAAAATAATAAAAATAAATCTTTAAAAAAAAGATTTATTTATTTTTATTAGAAATGCAGATCTACAGAGAGAAAGAGAGAGAGAGAGAGAGAGAGAGAGAGATATCTTCTGTCTGCTAGTTCATTCCTCAAGTGGCTGCAATGGCCCAAACTGAGCCAGGGTGCCAAAGTTTCCACTGCTTTTCTAGGCTACAAGCAGGGAAGCAGAGAGGCTGGGACATGAACCGGTGCCCACATGGGATTCTGGCACTTACAAGGGGAGGATTAGCTAGTGAACAATCACACCAGACCCTGACAGGTCTTTTTTTTTTTTTTAATGGCATGATATCCTAGGCACCCTGGATTTTGAGTGGTTACAGGCACTATAAAGACACCAGGTCAAACCTCACTTCATAGCATTTCAAGGGTTACTTTTGACTAAGGATGTTATTATTTAAAGGGGAGGTTCAGTGAATTACTGTGAGTGTGAATATGGTTGTCATTTTTCATAATAGCTCATGTTCAAGCAAATAAATGTGCTAATCTTTTTCTCTTTGGGGTCCTTTTTTGTGTCCATTATTTTCCTGAATCCAAAACAATAGATTGTAAATTTTCCTCAAGGATTTTTTTTCAGTCTATAATGATCAGTTATGCTCCATAGGCTCTATAGGTATGAATATTATTGTGTGCAGAAATGCAGTCATGCCCTGTACAACACAATAGTGAAGAGAAGCCAGTGCTGCAGCTGGCTTTGTGCGTACACTGTCACTTCTGTATTAGTGCACAAGGGATACATCTCAGCCATCTTGCATATTCTACTTCTCTTGCAAAATGGTTTGCACATATTTTGGCCCTTCAGTTTATGTGAGTTTATGCAGTATTCCTTTCATTGAGTACTCAATCCCCTTCTCCTTCAAGATTGAAAAGATCCGTGGAATCTTTCCAAGAGGGAAAAGATCGTGTTTTCCTTCTTGCCTTGATGTTAAGGGCATATGATTATATTTGATTAATGCCCCTTTCACAAAAATGTTTCGATAAAACCCCAGTATCTTGGCATATCTGTTTCAAAAAATACACAGTTTAGCTCCAGCATATCAGAATGATAGTTTTGGAAGTTCATTGTGATAAGATTCCTAACAGCCCCTCAGATATTCGCATTGGGAGCTCTTGGAAAACCCCGTTGTCCTGCTGAATGTTGGGAACCCTGCTGAATGCAAGTTAACTGAGTCAACGGGTAACTGCACTTCAAGTATCATGCCTTGTTTGAATCATTCTTATGTCCATTTGAATACTTTACTAATTTGGAAAAGTACTCTTCATGAAAAATACACTTTATAGCAAGCTAGCAATAATATGTTGGCTTTTCAAAGAAGATTAACATGGAATCTAAGGAAAGGCCAGTGAGTTCCACCTTCTATTTCTGAATCTGGTAGGAAAAAAATGATTCAGGGATACACATACTTTGTTTTTTAATATAATTTGCAGTTTTCCTTTTTTTTTGGGTTTGATATTGTGAGGCTGTTACAGAATACAATTTTATTTTCTTCCAAAATGAATATTTTGAAGCTCCCATTCTAATGTGATGATATTTGGAGGCGGAGCCTGTGGGATGGGAGTAGGTTTTGGTAGAGTCCCAAAGTTAGAAGCCCACCTAATAGGATTAGTGGTTTATAAGAAGATGAGACAACGGTCTCCTCCTTGTGCCATGTTGTGTGGCAACTCTGAGAAAAAGCTGCCTGTAAGCAGGGAAAAGGGCTATTGTCAAAAACTAAATGGCCTGGGGTTTCAATCTTGAACTTCAAGTCACCCCAGTTGTGGGAATCAAAGTCTGTTGCTTAAGTTAACCAATCTATGGGTATCATTACTGCAGCTTGAATTGATTGAGGCAGCTTCCAATCTTCCCTACAGTGCTATCTGCCTGTCACTATGACATTCTCTTGCTTCCAGCAATAGCCTAAGATTCTGCTGTATGATTAGGTAAGCTAAATAATATGCCCACCCAGTAACTATTCTGAATAATCAAGTACTGTTGATTATTATTATGATTATTATTATGGTAGTACTGTTTTGTTCTATCACCACTGCTGCATGTTAATGGATATTGGGCTCCATTCTGGGCACGACGCACTTGGGTTTAACAGAATGTAAGTAAGTAGAAATGGTCACTTAGTTTAAGAGTTTTGAATCTGAGAATATAGGCAGTTCAATAACTCAGCTACAAAAAGGTCTTATTTATTTTAGAGAGAAAGCTTTCATTTGTTGTTGCAATCCCCAAATGGGGACAAGAATGGGTCATGGCCAGAGTGGGGAGCAGGGACCTCAATCCAGGTCTCTCCTATGTGTGGCAGGGATTCAAATGCTTTTTTACTTCAAGATAATAAAGACAGCAAATTGATTTAATATATTACCCTGGTTTGTATCTCATGGAAAAACAAATGACTTTTCTTGCATTTATATTGGCAAATGGTTATAGGAAAAAATTCCTTAAGCACCATGTAAAAAGCTAACTTGAAATTTTGGAATCTTACACTAAACTGCTACCTATTAAATCATAATCTATTACATGTAATGCCAAATGAAAACATGCTGTCATAATTTACTGAGTAAAGTTAAGTTTTTACTTCATTTTGATAAATTTATCTCATTTACCAGTGTAGCCACAAATCATACTTACGGTTGTCATATGAAAGCAGTAAATTATTATATACCTTCAGGTGACCTCTACCCAGAAATGCTTTTCAGTGTTCACATTTTATCTGTCAAATGGCAATTTCTTTAAAAAGCAAATATAAATGCCATTATGGGGAGAAGCTACTGGCCTGGGACAAGTTCTAGCATTTAGTGTTCTGACAGATCTTAATTTGGATATCAGCCAAAGTCAATAAAACTTGTTCATGCAGAACCTTACCTGGTTTTCACCACATCCAGGGGGTGCATCAGGCAAATTTCTACAAGACCTGTAAGATGATAAAGAAAAATTCAATAAACATTTATGTAAATACTGGTTCTTATTTCCATGGCCCTAATGATTCACAAGTATGAAGGTTCAAATAATTAATACAGAATTTTGGACATGCCAGTTAATACACAGTGGCAAAAATCAAAAGTATAAACATGATTTCAACAGGAGCAAAGTATGTGAGTTGAATACTTCCTTACGGGTACTCTAGTGGGGGATGTGGGGCTACAGAGGAAAGAAAATGAAAGAGGAATCAGATGTCTTAAATCCAAATCAGTTAAGCAGCAGTTATTAAATCCCCATTAAGCTCAATGGAAACATGGGTGCCTATGAGAAAAAGAAAGGGGCAAAGGAGTCTGAATCTATTATGAATACGGCAAAGCATAAATTTGCCTTTCACTACCCATGAAGCAAAGAGTACGATTCCTCTTGTCTCACAGGGTAGCCATGAGAATCTAAAAATTCCAAAACTACATGAATAGCTTAATACAGAATGACTACTATTTATTATTTACTAGGCATTATGTCAAGCAGTATTTAGGTAACTGAATCTTCACAAGAACTCCATGTGACAGGATGACAGGGCACTTTAAAAAGTTCATGGAGCAGGGCCTGGTACAGTGTAGCCTAGCGGCTAAAGTCCTTGCCTTGCATACACTGGGATTCCATATGGGCACTGATTTTTGTCCTTGTGGCTCCGCTTCCCATCTAGCTCCCTGCTTGTGGCTTGGAAAATCGGTCAAGAACAGCCCAAAGCTTTGGGACCCTGCACCCGTGTGGGAGATCCAGAGGAGGCTCCTGGCTCCTGGTTTCGGATTGGCGCTGCTCTGGTCATTGCAGCCACTTGGGTAGTGAATCAGCAGATGGAATATCTTCCTCTTTGTCTCTTCTTCTCACTGTGAATATGACTTTCTAATAATAATAATAATGTTCATGGAGCAATGAAAAAAATCACTTCATTCTGATTAAAAATATTCTTGAACTCTGTGCATGGATTTTTACAATGCCCATTTCCCACAAACTCTTTGAAGATCCTCCTGTATGCAGCTATTTTACTACTTTTTGGTCTAAAATAAATTTTTTAAATACCATTTTCCATAAACTTCTTGAAATATTCCTATGTTATCCCTATTATCCTTATTTTACGGACCACATAATTGAGGCATATGAAGGCATATAACTTGTCTAGATGTCACATGTAGGAATTAGGTATTAGTCTTAATACCCACCAGACCTATGACTAAAATCATTGCATAGTGTGAGAGAACTTCTGCAGCAAATGCATTTCCTCCTACTGATTTGGCATTAGAGACAAAGCAAACTATTACACACCAAATACCACTCATTGTTGTATCTCTCAAAATTTACAAAAAGAATAACTAATGCCAACATACTATTAAAATTAATGACAGTCTTTGGATAATAAATTCATGTTTATATATTCCTATTTGCCCATTTGAATATTTGCTATAGTTTCCTGTGTGTTCACAGGTGTTTCTGGCAAGATACACTAGATCACATCATTATAGTCTTGAGGTTACACCAAATTTTTTTCTTAATGTCTATTATGCGCTAAAAGATTCATTTATTCATTCAACAAGTGTGCACTGGCCTTGAGGATACAGTCTAGTGCAGAGGAGACACAAAAGAATCCACGGGAGGAAAGCAGTACTCTAAGGAGCATCTCAGAGACAGGCCCTGACCTCACCTTGGGGTGAGTGGTTTCAAGGCAGGGAGAAGACACGGCACACGAGGCCACTGCACAAAAACAAGAGGAGGCACAGCAGTAACCTCTGGTTGAAGGCAGGATACCACAACAGGTGAGGCTAGTAGTGTGTATAGGCCAGAGTCAAGTTCATTTTCAGACAAGTGTACCTAATTCCCCACACTTGATCTTAGCTAAAGATCCAGGAAGATACGTGTAAACTTTATATAAAAAGTCAGTAAAAAAAAAAAAACTTCTGAAAAAATTTCCTTGGTTATTTTTTTTCTCATTACTAACGAACTCCATGCTTCCTGATGGCATCTCAAGGGGTTTTAAGTAGAAGAGTGATCCTAAGCTCTGTTAATGTGTTCTAGTCATCTGTCCTGCCAATCCCCTCTCTCGCAGGCACACGTAGGCACAAGGGTACAATGTCCCACCTTGCCCCTTTTTAGTTAGCAGTTCACCAGCAAAAGCATCATCTCTAATTACAGCATAGATGTCACAGCATGTCTTGCACCTGCACGTGACAGAGTCTAGGCCCGCCAATGGAACTTCCAGATCATGACCAGGCCAACAGGAGAATGTGACTTAAATCATCAAATGGAACATATCTGGTTCAGAATCTATGGTTTTTTTCTTTCAGTTTTAATGAGAATAAGCCAGTTATGAAATTCAAGCTAGTAACCAAATAGCAAAGAGAACAGATAATGTTGGAAATGGTGAGGAGGTTTTGATTTTGGTCAGAGTTAAAATCTGGATTCACTCAGAACAAGAATGGATATTTGTTATTCTCCACTGCATAGGGAAAGAATGTGAAACTCTGATTATCATTTATGGAGATAACCATAAAAACAGAATCAGATGAATCGTGTTACCACAGGCCTAGAAGTGACCTCAAGAAACTGAACTGTATTTTGTACTTGGTAATTCTGTTACCTAATATGAAGTCACAAACTACATAAAGGGCTAATAAACACAAATTTTAACATTTTCTTTTTTACTATAAAAATGAAAGTCTAACATAGGAATATGTAAGTCTCCATTGAATAATCCACCTCAATCACCAATTCAAGATCTATAGATCTTCAGGTAAATAAACCTAGGAATTTTGAGTTTAGGAATATAACACTTGGATTCAGAAGGAATAGTTGAATACAGAACAAAATAATCTAATTTCCTCTGCTTATGCCTACGTGTATTGCCAACCATCATAGAAACCACTTTCCCTGGTGAAAACTAGTTGTATTTTATGGCATATGAGAAGAGATATTAAAAAACCAATAAGACCATAACAATTATAGGTTTAGATCAGTGAATTTATTCCAGATACTTTCTGGATAACTTTCACTTAAATTTGGTGTTTAGCTTCAATAGCAGAAAAATAGATATTTTATATCTTTAAGACAAACTTGATTTTAAATAGGTTAGACTACTTGTGGCTTTCATTCATTTTTGTGAATCATAAAAGTAGAATCAAAATTGAACCAAACATTATGAAAATCATCTCAAAACCATAAAACAAATATTTTCTAGTAATATGCTGCCATATATTATGATGGTAAAAATATACCATTTGCTACAGTCATTCAAGGCAACGTACAATAAACTAAATGCAACAATAAACAAAATTTCCTTTTAGGCTTGCTAGAATTAGACAAAAGGTTAATTTTATAGGGCTGAGGATGATCAGTGATAAGAAAGGCTGAGGGTGGATTGATAGTATTAATTTAACATCTTGTAAATATTTTCATTGCTCCCACAGAATCTTACCATTTTAGTGAGCTGCTTTTTTTTTTTTTTTTTTTTTTTTTTTTTTTTACGGTTAAAATGAAACTGACAGCGTGACTCCATCACATCCTTAGCTGTGTTGGATTCTGCCTTCTTTGAACATACGCAGATGCATGCCTTTATCTAAGACAATACTTCTGGCCAATACTTTTGTGGGTGGGAACTGCATGCAGTAGGGAGGGAAAAGTGGGAAGCAACACTGTTCTCCCAAACTTGTACTGTAAAATATGTGACATATTTTCACTTTATATAAATTAAAAAAAATAAATTTAGGAAAGCTCCAAAAACAATGCCACATGTTTGTCAAACTTTCCCCAAGCCTCCATCTTTTCTAGAAAGACTGCAGACCTATTCAACCACAAAATCACATCAAACATTAACTACCCTTCCTATGATATAAGCTGAACCACACTTCTTTTTTCTAAGAAAGAATACAAACACTGTCATGCAATGATTAATCATGATTGCTGGAAGAATAGTTTCTTTTAAGTACTCAATTCTTTGGGCTTGCCTTTTCCTCTGGAATGTTTTCCACCTGTAAGGACACACACACACACACACACACACACACACACACACACACACAGACTTTTAAGACTCCTACTAACCTCTGGATCTTGATTTAGGCAATCTTTTCCCAGAAATCCCATGGTATATTCTGTTAGTTGATACCTAGGATTCATCCTCTCTTTCTCACCACCTGCCATAACAATTGCATTCCCAGGTTGTTTGCTGCTAGGCATTACTATGTACTTAAACTTTAGACAACGGGATAAATGTGAGAGTGGCTGGGGTAACATTTGGGGAGTCTTTTAATAATGGGGATCCTGTTGTTCTCTTTTTTCTCAATCCTGCTAGCAGGAATTAAAGTAGCTATCTTGGACAGCAGGGTGATTTGCGTACATGAATTACTAACAGCTCTGCAAAAATGCAGGAGGCTTGTGTCTGGGCGTGGTAGCCTAGTGGCTAAAGTCCTCGCCTTGCACATGCCAGATCCCATATAGGTGCCAGTTTGTATCCCAGTGGCCCAATTTCCCATCCAGCTCCCTGTTTGTGCCCTGGCAAAGCAGTTGAGGGTGGCCCAAAGACTTGGGACCCTGCACTCAGTGGGAGACCCAGGAGAGACTCCTGGCTCCTGAATTCAGATCGGCTCAGCTCTGGCTGTTGTAGCCACTTGGGGATTGAACCTGTGGATGGAGGATCTTCCTCTTTGTGTCTCCTCCTCTCTGTATATCTGACTTTCCAATAAAAAAAATCTTTAAAAAAATGCAGGAGGCCCTGACACTAAGGAGCTCCAGTCTGATCACTTCTAACACTCATGTTAGAGAAAAATCCCATCAACTTTAAGCTACTGCTTAGTGTGTTTTCTGCCACCTGCAGCTGATTCAATGTCAAGATGCAGGAACTCTTTGATCTGCTTCCACAGTATTTTGTGCTATCCTGTGGCACTGCAACTGCTTGCTTTCTCGTCTGAATGCTCCACAAGCAGATATTCCAGTGCCTTC